ACCACAACCTCCGCCTCCCGGGTTCAAGTGATTCTCCTGCCTCAGCCTCTTGAGTAGCTGGGATTACAAGCATGCACCACCATGCCTGACTGATTTTGTATTTTTAGTAGAGATGGGGTATCTCCATGTTGGTCAGGCTGGTCTCGAACTCCCGACCTCAGGTGATCCACCCGCCTTGGCTTTCCAAAGTGCTAGGATTACAGGCGTGAGCCACCATGCCCAGCCGAGACTTTCATTTCAGAATAACAATCGGTTGAGTGCCTTGGCTTGTGCCAGGCACGAATCTGTCAAAAATAAAATCAGATCAAGTTAAAATTTCAGGAGTTAATTGTGCATACAAAGGAAGAGCCTGTGAATCGGGAGATTACGAGATTGGCAAGAAGTCGGAATTGACAGCAGTTATAGCACAAGAGGAAGTATTTTGACCCTTTTCATGATTGGCTGACACATTTTTTCAAAAACAAATAGAGCTGTTCAAGCTGATTTGTCTATGGTTGATTGGTTTAATTCCGTGGAATCATGCTAATAAGGGAAGAAAACTTATTCTTGTGCTTTACGTTTAGAGTTAGCATTTTGGAAAATCAGGTGCTCAAGTTTTGGTTATGTGGCTATGGTGGTTGTTCTCAGAGTATCTAAACAATTGTTTCAGCTCTTATTTATCAATCCTAATGACTTTATTATATGCATTACCATCTTCTCCTCCTCTTCTTCATGTGGTTGTATTACCTTCTTTAATCCTCACGTCTGCCCTCTGAAATAGAAACTATTCCAGGCCAGGTGTGGTCACTCACACCTGTGATCCAGCACTTTGGGAGGCCAAGGCAGGTGGATCACTTGAGGACAGAAGTTCAAGACCAGGCTGGCCAACATGGAGAAACCCTGTCTCTACTAAAAATACAAAATTTAGGCCGGGCGCGGTAGTGGCTCAAGCCTGTAATCCCAGCACTTTGGGAGGCCGAGACGGGCGGATCACGAGGTCAGGAGATCGAGACCATCCTGGCTAACCCATCCTCCATTTACCCACTGTGTGGCCCTTGGTAAGTGATGGTACCTTCTCTGAGTTTTTCAGTTCCTCGATCGTGAAATAAGATACAGTCATGCTCACTTTAAGTGACAGGATTGCGTCTAAATTGCCATCATTGGCAATGTTGTCATTGTACACAGACACAGAGTGTACTTACACAACCACCTAGGGAAATAGCCTCCCTGGTACAACCCAGGATTATAGGTCCAACCCATAGCCTCCTACCACTACAAAACCTAATGCAGCATGGTTATCCTTACTGGAACGGTAACAGTTGAAAACAGTGATAAGTATTTGTGTAATCTAACAAGATACCAGTAGGAAACACATATTGGGCAAGGCCCCAGTGCCCATGCCTTGTAATGCCCAGCACCTTTTGGGGAGGCTGAGGTGGGTGGATCACTTGAGGCCAGGAAGTTCAAGACCAGCCTGACCAACGTGGAAACACCTGTCTTACTCTATAAAAATACAAAAATTAGCCAGGCCATGGTGGGGGGCGCACCTGTAATCCCAGCTACTCAGAGGCTGAGGCAGGGATCGCTTGAAACCCAGGAGGCAGAAAGGTTACAGTGGAGCTGAATGCACCATGCCACTAACCTAGGTGACAGAGTGAGCCCTGTCTCAAAAAAAAAAAAAAAACATCGGTTATATATATACCTATATATAGCATATTATTAATCCCACGGGACCACCATCGTGTATGTGGCCCATCATTAACTGAAATTAATGTGGCACTGACTGGGAATCGTTTATTTTAATTACTTATTTTGAGACAGAGCTCGCCTTGTGTGCCCAGGCTAGATGCAGTGGGCATGGATCCGCTCACTGCACACTCTGGCCTTCCCTGGGGGTCAAGTAATTCTTGTCACTCAGCCTCCCAAATAGCGGATTATAGGCACTGCACCACCCCTGCCGGCTAAATTTTTTCTTTTTTTTTGGAACGAGCTGTGCCTCTGTGCCCAGGCTGGGGCGCAGTGACCAGGTCTCGGGCTTCACTTGCAAGCTCGCCTTCCCGGTTATGCCATTCTCCCTGCCTCGCCTCCCGAGTAGCTGGGACTACAGGCCGCCCCGCCACCTCGCCCGGTCTATGTTTTTTATTTTTAGTAGAGGATCGGGGTTTCACGTGGTTACG